ATTATTTTTTGGGAGGTGGAGTCCAGATCTAAGGCCAAAGGTGGTCTTGCCATTAGAAATTTGTTGAAAATAAATGAAGCTCTTGTTGAAAATGGCTTTGGAGATTCCCTTTAGAACAGGATTCACTGTGCTACTCAGTTATCAGGAGTAAGTATGGGTTATAAGTTAATGGTTGAGAGGCCAATGGGGTTGCTAGGGGTAACTTTCGAAGTCCATGGAAGTTCATTTCTCAAGGGTTACCTCTCTTTTCCCAAAGGCTTAACTCTTAGTGGGTAATGGATCTCGAATACAGTTTTGCGAGGATTTATGGGTCAGGGAGTGTTTCCTTTTCCATTCTTTGTCCTTGTCTTTATAGTTTCCATGGTCAAAGGATGACTTATTTCATCCGGTCTTATTCAAATCTTATTTCATGGGATTATGGTTTTCGTCTATGAAGCCCAAACACTCTTAAAAAAAGATGAGTTGTCCGTGTTGTACACGTGTCAGACATCGAAACTCTTCAGACACATGTCCGATACTCTTTTATCTGTGTCCATAATTAAACGATAAAATCTTAATTTCGGACACTTGTCCGACACTTCTTTGGTGACATGTCCAACACTTGATTAAACCGTGTCTACTACTAAGCAATAAACATGTGATTAACAAGCTTAGAAATTTGACTATGAGGGAACATATAATTACCAAGACTAAACATGTTAAAATTGTACTCAAACTATAATAATAAAAACAAAAGATATTTTAGATGCATCTTGCAGTAGATGTAATGATATGTTAGAATCCACCTTGCATGTTATTCGTGATTGCCCTAAAGCACAGATTATTTAAAAGTTGTTTTTGAATATTCAAGAAAGGGAGATTGACTAATTGGGGTACTTGCATTAATGGCTGAAGCTGAATTGTAGAGAGAGAAAGGTTAAAGAGTGGAAAGGGGTCAAATGGCCTATGATTTGGACATGTATTGTCTGGAGTATGTGGAAAGATAGAAATATGGAGAGCATTTTGAATATCACTTCCCCCCCTCCCTAATATTGTTGCGAGGGAAGCCTGGCTTCTTGCATTGGACTCCACCAAAGCTTTTTAGGATATTCATTTTGCTGTTGATGGAGTTTTTTTCCAATCTGTTTTGATGGTCTTTCCCTTCTGCAGGATGGAACAAACTTAATACGGATGGATGCTCCAAAGGAAATCCTGGACTAGCAGGAGTTGGAGGAATTATCAGAACCGACCAAGGCAAATGGATAGTAGGTATTTATGGGAGAATGAATGATGTAACGAGCATTCAAGCGGAGCTTTAGGCCATTTTGAAAGTGCTTGAACTCTTGCTAAGGCGACAAATTACCCATGTTGTTGTGGAAACAGACTCACCGGAAGCTGTTAAGGTACTTTCGTTTGATCCATTCGAGGCCCACCCAAATAGAGTCATCATCAAGAGCTGTAGAAATATGATGGGGACTAACCATATCCCCATGTTCCACACATTCAAAGAAGGAAACCAGTGTGCAGACATACTGGCAAACCTTGGTGTTCAACAGATGGAGGCGTTTGTGGAGCTACAAGATCCATCACCCCATATTTCAAATGTTTTTATGGCTAATATGGCCAATGTTGTTTATTCTAGGAAACTCTATTTAGATTAGGTCTTTTAACTTTCCAATGCATCAAAAACTCTCTGATTGGATTAGATGTTATTGGGGAGGATATGAATAGGAGGTAGAGAACTTTGTAAGCCAGTGTTGTTTTCACTACTATTTGGGTCATTTTTTTTTTTTTGCTAGGTGAAGGGGTGGTCAGGGGCGACCAAGCATAGCAATACCCTAGGACATTATGTTGAGGTTCCCACCAGCTGTAGAATGTTTGGTTTAAACTATAGTTACTGGCATGAGATTGTCAAGTCTGTCACCACAACACCACCGAGGACAAGCTGAACATTCAACCCCTCCAACAATTTTTGGTTCACAGCGACTACTATCGCAAGCGAGTTCGAATCTATGACCACTAAAGGAGGGCAGGACTTTCATCTTCTACTGAAGCCAACTAGGCTACCAGCTCGGTGGTTACTATTTGGATCATTTGGTTGAAAAGGAACACGAAAATTTTTTAAGACAAGTCGGAAGAGATTGAAAGTCTTCGGAAAAAGATATATTTGCAGGCTTCTTTTTGGGTTTCCACAACTAAGGAGTTTGACAATGTCCCTTTTTTTTTTTTTTTGCATTACATCGAGTTGGACAGCCTTTTGCGAATAGTAGTTTTGTTTTTTTTGGTTTTTTCTCCAATGTATTCCTGTTTTTCTGCTTCAATGCGTCTTTGGTTAGGACAACTTGTCCACCTTTTGACATGTCTTTTGTAACTTTTTTCTTTTGATCTTAATAATAGTTTTGGATGGACATGAATTTTAAATCTAGGCTCAATTTATTATTTCTTTCTAACCTAAATTTATTGAGAAACTAATTTTAAACTTGGTCTAATTTCTATATGAATAAGCTCAACTCGATTAAGTCACATATACGACAAAAACCAGATGTGTAATAGCTATAAAGAACAAGAAAGAATTTGACCATGGGCATCACCCATCGTCAGGGACGAAACCATTCCATACTTTCTACAACACCTATAGGTATCCTACTCAAACTCTTCCTCTTATTGAACTGCCCCCTATCTCAATCCTTATTCCATGGATGCCTTACTTTCTTAACAAAGTAGTCTATTAGTTGTAAAATATTACAATCTTTTGGCAAGTGTGAAAGTATTAAAATATTATAACTATTGAATCTTGACCAAATTCCTTTAGAATTTCTGTTATACTAAACTACAAAGACTTTCTTTCCATATAAAACAAAAATCCTGGCAAAAACTATAAGAATAAAATAATACTTTGAGAAATTCATACCCAATCCAAGAGCACTACCTCACTTAGGAAACAAAAACAAACCAAAGTAAGCACTAAACAGCCAAGCTTAAGAACGGCAGAGTAAAAAGACACAGAACACAGAAAAAGAAAATTCAGTCGAAGTTAAAAGGTGGGTCGAAAAATATCAAGTCCTTTCTTTTCTTCTCCGATCAATTACGTGTTTTTCAAGTCATGAACATTGTCAAAACTAGGCTTCAAGTTGATAGATGATTTTCTTAAAAACTCTTTGATATTACAAAAAGAAATAGAAACGGAAGTTACTAAAAGTTTTAGCACAAATTCAAATCATTAAATGAATTATGTGATAAAAAAGAATGTCAAGACCACTCTGATAAAATAACAAGGGTATTTGTTAAAAAATTAATGCTTTTGTTCAATTATTTTTTAAGTATTTTAGCTTATATTAAATATATTCTTCGGTTGATGTAGGTTTATAGACTATGCATATAGTTCTCAGGATTGGCATGAATTTCTACATATAATGCTTGGCCCCCCAAGGATAAAATTTTGATTCCGTCCCTGTCCCTCATGTTTGTACGTACAAAGAAGATTTTGAGTACATATAATTCTGCTATCAAAAGGAAAGAAGCAAAGTCCAACCTTTTTACAACAAACAAACTAAAGCTTCACCATCTTGGGAAAAGGAAAAAGTATGAATCAAAACTTGACTGATATGTGTTGTGGTTGCCAAACATTGACATCGAATATAAATTTATTCAATTACATGCAAAGCATAAGTGAAGGCTTTTTACTGCAAAAGAAAGTCATAAATTTAATTTCTTCGCATTTCCTCTCTTTACTCAGAAGTGTAATGAAGTTTTGACAAAGCAATGTAGTTCGGACACCAAAAAAAGCAAAAACAAGGTTCCAAGAAAATTTTCCTTCTCAAGGTTCCTACACAATGAAAGTGATCAAACATGTATTACAACTTTAATCTAGTTTTTTTTTTTCACTTTCCAAAAGTTAGGGAGAAATCAGAAAAAATAGATCAACAACATGCCTAACTAGCGGATGTTTTTGCGTGCGTGTACAAAATAAGTGCAATGCAAGCTTGTAACTATTAATTTTCTCGCTTTCCTACTTCTCACAGCTTAAAGCATTCTTGGAGCTAACAAACTACAGTCAAACAAAGTAAGCACAATTAAGCAATGCCTATGTCAGCTCAGTGAGTTAAGCTGCAGAACCAAGTTCATCAATCTTGATCACTCAAAACCACAAGGAAAACAAAAACATAAGAGTGCTAGGTTCATGGATTTAGTACGGAAGGGAAAAGCAAATGTAACAAAAAATTGTTTTCATTTTGTTTGATTGCCCCAGAAACATGGGGGAAACTTATAATGCGAAGAATAGAGAGAAATTTTACTGTTCTACTTCACAAATTCCAATAAAATTTTACAATTTCCAATCTCTAAATTTATTTAGCTACGAGAAAATGAGAGAAAGTGTATTTTTCATTATTTACCAAAAAAAAAAAAAATCAATTACTTTATCTCCGATGATGGAATCATGGAGGTTAATAGTGTAACGAATCATTTCTTAAGAACCCAATGTCAACGAAGCTGACATTCCTCCACTTAGCTCGTTGTGCTTAGATGTGGATGGCAATAGCAAGAAGAGCACGGGGTAATTTTGAGGTTTTAGGGTCATTTGTCACTGGGTTTAAGAAAAATTGGTTGGAGTTTGTCTTCCATGGACAGAAATCGGAAGGCTGTGATTCAAAAGATGGATGGAGATAATGCAAAAAGACGGTAGATGGGAGGTGTAGGGGAACTATAACCATTCAAGCCATCATAGTGGGAACCGGGCTTGTGAAATCTGAATGCACATCTAAATGTATGTAATCCTATCATATTATTCATATATTTAATTTGATACTATCATTTTAATTTTATGTCATTCTACAAGTGTAGGCAGATTTTTTTTATCTCCAAGTTTTTTTGTTATCGATATTTTCAAGGCTTTCACTGTCAAATCATGCTGATCCTTTGAGATCTATACATTTTCATTCAACATCTATACCACCTATAAAAGATGGAAAGCCCCCTTATTTCTCCATTTTCCAATTACAAAACTACACTTATTGGAAGATATGGGAAAAAAACCTAATGGACACCCCAGTCTCCCCTCCACTATGTTTCTCTCTCAACAAATACCACTCTCTTCTCCCACTCTCCCTCAGCCCACATGTAGAAAAAAAGTAGATCTATTGGGGAGACAAAGGAGAGAAAGAAAATACAAAACTCTCCATAGCCATCAAATCTCCCTTCTTTCTGTCTCTCTTGAAGAATTGGCTTCTCATTGCATTTTGTTATACAAAAAAAAAAAATTAAGGATAGTGTCACTCATGATTAGCGTTTTTGAACAATTTCTACTGAACAACAAATTTCTCTTCTCCAGCAAACAGACTTCCATATTTAACAAACCAAGTGACTTAATTTTGCTTACTGATTCAAATCCCCTAGTCCAAAGTGTCAAAGTTGTTATTGTCTGGATTGTCGAGAAGGGCAGCAAAACCCTCATCGAATTGTAGGAACTGCAACAAATCAGTTCTGACGATTGCTGAAATGAGGCCCCACGACTCCGTGGAGAACACTATAATTTAGGTGGTGAAGAAGTGCTTGGATCAATAATTCAAAGGATCTACCGGTAATTGTAATGATCGTGGCATTTTAAAGATTGTTACCCCATTCATTTACAACAAAGGTGATGGAAAGGCTTTGTCCTCACTCTATCCCTTTATACAAAGTTTCATCTTCAACATAGTGAATTGTATTTAAGTCGGCAATAGAATGGTTTTAGTGCCTCACACACTTTGTTTATTTGGTGTCTTTTGTTTTTTGTTGATTATATTGGTTTGATGGCATGAGTGGTGCATATCAGCTCTCCTTTCCAGTCTTTTGGATTATATGAATTTTCGACACCAAGGTTGTTGTAAGGTGTATCGCAACACGTATCTTTTTCTAAACAGTGTATAGTATATTGTAACATATCACATATTGTGCGATACGCTCAAGTTTAAAAAATTTATTATTAAACATATACACAAATGTAGATATACAGGATTATCGCTTATTAAAAAATCATAATACTATTTCAACTCAAATTCTATTTAATATTTCCAAAGACTTTGTTTTGTTTTGTGATAGAAATCGCAACAGCACTACAGTTTCTTTGCGACCGAGATCAAAAAAGAGCTTGGGTTTCGTCTTTGCAAACAAAGATCCAAAGAGAACTAGGGTTTCTTCTTCATCTTTGTAAGAAAGATTGGTCTTTGTCTTTTTGATAGAGATCGAAAGAGAGCTAAGGTTTTTGCAACGTCTCTACTATAAAGATTGCAGGGCTCCAGAGCTGCCATAGGACGAGAAGAAGAAACGGGTGAAGAAGGATAAGAGTTTCGTCGATTTAGAGTTGCATTGTTCGACTGTCTTCCCTCGCGACTTAGATGGAAAACATAAGATTAGTTCGAAAAGAAAGGCCTCAACTACATTTCACAAAACAAAAAAAGAGGGGTTCAGCATATTGCACAAACTGCGTACTGCGTGTTGCATCATGCAATACAACCATTGTTTCGAAAGATACAATGAAAATACGATAGAACTAAGCAAGTTGTAACGTATTTCATACGTATTGAAACGTATCATACAGTACATATAGTGTATCGTACGATACATAAGGTTCTTACGATCTTAGTTAGGGTACACCCATAATTTTATGGACTTTATTGCATATCTAGATACAGCCATATTTTTCTGTTTATTATTCTCTTAGCATGTTTGTTATGCTCTCTTTGTTTATTTATATATCTAATTTAGTATGAAGGATTTGCTTGCTTTCATGGGAATTCTGATTTTTTTCAGTTTCTTAATTTTAATTTCTAGGTGGAAGAGTGTAAAATTGAAGTGCAAAGCCATGTTTCGGGGCAGGTTATTGTGAGTTTATGTTCAATATTTTATAGATATTATGATTAGGTTGCAGATTTACATGTCCACTTTTAGTTTTTCCTTTAGAAAAATTTGCATGAATAAGCCAATTAAGCGTTGAAATGTCAGTTGAGTAGAGGCTCTTGTTGGACTGTGTATGAAGTGAATCTAACATCCGCCTTGTTGGAATTTTGCAGAGATTTAAAAACCTCTATTTACCCTCCTCTCATTTTCCCAAAAAATGGTATCATCCTCTTACAGAGATATAAAGAAAACAAACCTAAAGGGAAGCGTCCATTCTACAATCAAAAGATATAGGAGTGGAAGATCAAAGAGGTGCAAGAATGATAAGCATTTTGATCCTTGCTATCAAGAGAAAGACCCCCCCCCCGGGGGGGGAAGTAGAGTAGTCAAATCCTAGTTTTAGCTAGGATTGCTATTGTTTTCGAGAATTTCTGATGCTGGAGTAGATATGTCGTGGTAATGACCATGTGTCCTATTTTGTTAGTCAGAAGGATTACAGGATTTGATTATTAATTTAGCAAGTTTATACGTAAGCTTCTATTAGTCTACGTCTTCACCTTACAAATTGGGAGTCTGTCGTGTTAGGTTTAGGAGGAGTTCCAATCTATACAAGGCCATGCATCTTTCTCGACTGAACAGAGATCAATTTAAAGAATTCAACCCAAGCCTGAGGAGTGATGTCTATGGTATCTAGGAGTGAAGCCTAAAGTTCTTGTTCTTCATTTTTTCTTTTTTTAATTTTTCTGCAGAATCTGCTGCATAATTCTAAAATCCAGCAACTATCATGCTCCTACTCTAGCCAAATCTCATCTCCGTCATCAATGATCAACCACTCAACCCTAGCATTTAAAACAACAAACAAGCAGCATTTTCCTAGCACACAAACAGTATTAACAACACAATGAAACAAGCACAATTCAGCAGTGAAATTTGCATTTCATCAACCATTATAAGGTAAACTAAATATAAAAGCTGACCCACAATATTAAGTAAAATAAAATGCATAGAAACCTCACCAAGTGTGTCTGAATCGGTGGGAACGTTGAGTAGACTGGGGACAGAAGATAAGACACTCTCACAGTAAACCCCTTGAGGCTTATTCACAGCGATGAGCCACTGGTCTTCGAAGAGCACATCACTTCTAGAGACAGAAAAGAGACCCGACTTCGAAGACGCTGACATGGCTCTGCTCAGCTCTATGTCCTTGGATACGGATGGCAATGGTGGGGAAAGTGGCACAGGGTAATCTATATGGATTTTGGGGTCATTTGTGAACCGGGTTTCTGAAGAATCGGAGTGGGTATAATCCGCCATGGTCGAAACTCGAAGGATTCTGGATGTTCTAAAAAGGGAAGATCGGAGGGGGCTGACTGAAGAAAAAAGGGTGGGGCGGGCCAGAATTGTCAATGAAGTAAAAAGAGATGATGGTTTTCTTTTTGTCGGAGGAGGGCAGTAAATATTCGGTGGAAACGGTCACCCTCGTATGCTAATGTCACCATCAAAAAATTAAGGAAAAATTACACCAACACTTTCTCAGGTTTGATCTAATCAGTTACGCGCTCTAATATTTGGATCTATCTTTATTCGTGTATGACACCTAAACGCTTTGTTTGTTAGTATATTTATTAAGAAATTATATTTAGATCTCTTAAAATTTATATTACACACATAAATTTTTTTAAATTTAAAATATTATATTTAGACCTCTTATTATTTATGGAGCTAACAAAATTTATTAAATGAGTAAATTATCTCAATTAAAGATAAAAGATATTGTGTTCATTATAGTTTGATCTCTTTCTTTATTTTTTAATTTTATTGTATGCATATGAGTGTTGAATTGAGTTTTGTGATATATTTATATTGATTACTATTTTTTCTTCAAAAAATTGGGATTTTGTTTGGATTTTATATCAATGAATGATATAATAGATCATGCAAATGTACTAATTATGTTTTTTTGGGCATCAATAGTACTAATTATAATTTTTTTAATAAAAAATTAATTTTTATTTTATTTTATTTCAATAAATAACATAATAAAACAAGAATTTTGGTTGTAAATTTTAAAATATTTGATATTCTATCTTTAATTAGAATATTTTTAGTCTAAGTATAATATTTAAAACTCAAGGAGTTTAAATATTATATGTTTCAAATTTTAGGGGTTTAAATATAATTTATTAATGGATATAAGCAAAATTCCTATATTGTAACATATACAAACTTGACGAGGCCTGTGTATAATATTTTGAATAAAAAGATATTTAGGTGATTAAATAACAAATTTTAGAAGCTTGGGTGTAATTTTTCTAAGAATTAAATAGACAAAGTGTGTCTCACTTTCATGTAGTTACTGTATTATATCGATAGATAATAATTTATAAACTATATGAAATTCATTTATCCACTTATTAACGATTAGACTATATCAACATAGCAACATAGGATAAATGTAATACTCAATATTTTCTCGTGGCGGAGGTGTTTGTGAGTTTTGTGGCATATATGATAATTGTGTACTAAAAAACTCTTATGCTTGAGTACAATTATGGTAAAGAAATACCAAAAGTTAGAATATCTTAAAAATTAAATTATAATTCTTAAAATATAAGTTATCTAATTGATCACAATATTTTTTGACCAATTATTAAATAATATAGTTTTTAAAGATTAAGTTACAATTTTAAAGGTGAAATTATATTTTTGGTGGAGCTAAATAGTTCAATTATCCTTTCACACCCCATTTAGCTCTCTAACTTTAACGGGTTTTTGGTGGCCATACATTATGATAGATTTTTTGGCCAATAAGAAGGACCGTGAGTTAGTACCAATTTATAGTAAAAAGACATATAAGCCCTTTTGTAGATACATTTTTCAATTCACATTTCAAAATAAATAGGAGATAAAATAAGTGGGATAGAAGATAGAGGAAAGACAATGGGTGGAATGAAAGAGGGAGGATAAAGAAATTGAATCAGGAGAGAGGAGAGAGGAGAGAGGAGAGAGAAAATAATGTCCATTTCAAAATTCAAATAAAGTCAAATCTCTTTACTTTAGATATTTCATATTTAGAACTTTCTATATATAATGTGAGAGATAAAGTTTAATAATATCCACATAAAATTTAAATTTTAAAATTCAAAACAAAATAAAATCTATGTTGTAAATATATTGTATATTAGATATGGATGAACTCTAACCTACCAATTTAATAGGTGTTAGTATTTGACTCTATAACTCTACTCAGAGTTAATATTGTATTTGATAACGATTATGATTAGAGACCTATAAATAGAGGTCTTCGCTACATTGAGAAATACACAAGTTGATAAATTTTTTCTCTAGCATATATGTATTCTCTATATTTTTTTTTTTTTGTAGTCTATATAATTCTCTTTCTTTCACAATACATTATCAGCGCAAATTGTTCAAGTATTATTCAAATGAATTTGATGCTCAAGTATTGTTCAAGTGAATTTGAGTAAAGTGCTAGTTTTCTATTCTCTTCGAACTTAAGAATTTCAAGTAAATTTCTTTTATGAGAATCAATTTTTTTTATTCTATAATTGTCCATACACAAACAAAAGAAATTTGATTACAAGTTTTGACCCTTTCGAAAAGTATTGATTTTCATATTATTTCCTCCAGAAAAGAGAGTGATAGATTTTTATATAATTCTTTTACCCCGCATGAATTCTACCAGAATTACGCATGAGATTTCTTTTGGTTAAGTTCTCTGTATTCCTATTTTGAGTTCCAATATCCCTGTGTTTATTTATTATTTGTTTCAGTTCCATAGTTTTGAATGATGTGCATAAGGGGCAACAACTATCTTTCTTGGATCCTTGAGGTTGATATCCACTTGACAACCATGAATCTTGGTGATCCTATCAAAAAAGGAAATATCGCATCCCTGCAAAATTGCACAAAGGTAATGATATTTATTCATCGTCACCTTCATGAATGATTAAAAAACAAATATCTCACGAGAAATGATCAACTTGTCCTTGGGGATAAATTAAAGGAATGGTATGATCACCAAAAGACCGGTATACTTCCAAATGCTTGGCATGAATGGATGCACTTAAGGTTGCAAGATTTTAAAAAAGTGAGTGATTATAATTCGGTACTATTCAAAATCAGTTCACAATTGACACTATGTGAAGAAACAATTACTGATAAATACATGTTAGAGAAAACATTATCTACTCTTTAGGCCTCTAATGCACTCTTGCAATAGCAATACAGAGAACGTAGGTTCACTAAATACTTTGACTTGAAATCATCTCTTCTTGTGGCTGAACAAAATAACGAGCTTTTGATAAGAAACCATAAATCTTGCCCGACCGGTTCTACAACATTCCCTGAAGCAAATGTCACCTCATATCATGGTTGTGGTAATAAACGTGGACGTGGTTGAAATGATAATCGACATCGTGGTCATAACACCTCACTTCACCACCAGAAGTGGGCAAACAAAGATGAAAAACAACATAAAGGGAAGGGTTTGCTGAATAAACCGCTCAAGAACTATGAAGAAGTTTGCTAGAGGTGTGGTATGAAAGGACATTGTTCACATACCTATTGTAAGTCCAAACATTTGGTTGAACTTTACTAGATATCCATAAAAGAAGTTGGTACTCTCATAGAGACTAAAGAAAAATATACAATGGAAGTTGCACAAAAAAGTTGGCACCCCTGAAAAGGCCACACCTACAAAGTAGGCAACATAAATATTGATCAGTTCAAAATTAGTAAACTAAAATCTCCTGGAGAGGCATCTCCTGCAGAGGTAAAGAAACTTAAAAATAATGAGATCTCAAGAATTTATGTATGTACAAATGAAGAATGAGACACTCTTTCCGCCGTTAGGGGGTGAAAATCTATCGCCTATAGAGCGACGTGAACTTTCTTACACGCCTGAAGCGTGGTAGAGGTATAGGTTTAAAAGATTCAACTCCTAAAGGGTAACTACATAAAACTATTGAAGAAGTTGTTGAATTAGAGAATAAAGATGCACCCACATCATCTCAAATGATATCCCCTGAAGAGGAAAAAATATCTAGAGTGACACAGACTCCTGCAGAGATGCAAAAATCTACAAATGAAGAAATTTCTATTAATTATGCATGTATAAAAGAGATATTTGATTGCACAAAAATGAGCATCAGTGATGTATTTTCTTTGATAGTAGCTACTAAAACCTTGAATGATGATGATCTCGAACAACGCACAATAAATGACTGTCGACATTGACATGATTGGCCAAAATGGCAAGAAGCAATCCAAGTGGAATTGGATGCTCTTGCAAACTGTGGAGTATTTAGACTTGTAGTCCTAGCACCTAATGATATAAAACCTATTGGTTATAAATGGATTTTTGTGAGAAAAATAAATGACAAAAATAAGATCACAAGATACAAAGCGCGCCTAGTAGCACAACTTGCAGAGACTCGGGATTGATTATGAAGAAACATATTTACCGGTAATGAATGCAATTATATTTCGGTATCTTATTAGTCTAGCAGTCTTAGAAGGACTTGACATGCGTCTTATGAACGTTGTTACTGCATATTTATATAGAAAGTTAGATAGTAATATTTATATGAATGTCCATGAAGGATTACAATTGCTTGAAGCAAACACATCAAAACCACGCAACATGTACCCGATGAAGTTGAGACGATCCTTATACGGATTTAAACAATCTGGAAGAATATGGTATAGCAATCTCAGTAAGTACTTCGTAAAGTAAATGTATGTTAACAATCCCATATGCCCATGTGTATTCATTAAGAAATCAGAATCTAAATTTGTCATCATTGTATTATATGTTAATGCTATGAATCTAACTGAAACTTTTGAAGAGTTAATTAAAGCTGCTGAATATTTGGAAAAAGAATTTGAGATAAAAGATCTTGGAAAAACAAAGTGTTGTCTCAGCCTGCAGATCGAGCATACATTAAATGAAATTCTTATTCATCAAACAACCTATACTGAAAAGGCCCTGAAGTGGTTCTGGATAAAGAATATTCGTTAAGTACTCCAATGGTCGTTCAATATCTCGATGTTAATAAGGACCTTTTTCATCCTAAGGAGGAAAATGAAGTGATTCTTGGTCCTAAAGTACCATTCCTAAGTGCAATTAGTGCTTTGTGATACTTAGCACAAGGTACTAGGCCTAATATAGCATTTACAATCAATTTGTTGGCAAGATTTAGTCTTGCACCAACTCAATGACATTGGAATAATGTAAAACATGTCCTATGCTATCTTCGTGGAACTACAAATTTGGGCTTGTTATACTCAAA